AGTAGGTACTTAAAAAGTGGCAAATATGATTATTAAAAGTAGAATAAAATCTCCTATTTAGCCACAATGTGCATTCTGCCTCAACTTTTTTTTTTTTTTTTTGAGACAGAGTCTTGCTCTGTCGCCAGGTGCCAGGCTGGAGTGCAGTGGCTGGATCTCGGCTCACTGCAACCTCCGCCTCCCGGGTTCAGGCAATTCTCCTGCCTCAGCCTCCTGAGTACCTGGGACTACAGGCGTGTGCCACCATGCCCAGCTAATTTTTTTGTATTTTTAGTAGAGACAGGGTTTCACCACGTTGGCCAGGATCATCTGGATCTCTGACCTTGCGATCTGCCTGCCTCGGCCTCCCAAAGTGCTGGGATTATAGGCTTGAGCCACCGCACACGGCCTAGCCTCGCTCTTAAATTCTAACCATCCTGAACACTTCTCAGCTCCCCAGCATGCCATCATGTTCTGCCACACTTTTGTGCCCCTGCAAATTTCTTCTGACTGGCAGATCCTTTCTGATTTTGTTTTTCTGATTAACTTCTACTAATGATTAAGCTAGGAGACCCTGCTGCTCCCACTGAGACCCCTGAATCTTTTTATAAAAAGGTACCCTGTACCTTTTAAAAATATTTACCAAACTATAATTGTTGGTTGACTTCCAGTGTCTCCCACTAACCTATGAACTCACTGAGGGCAGGAATTCTGTGTATTTCTGCATTCTTCCTACCAAGCACAGAACCTAGCACATAGCAGTAATTTAACATACTAATGAATTACAAATATTTTTCTTTATTTTTATTTAGTGATAAACACGTGTAAAAAGTTTTTGATCTACATGGTCTATAATGATTGAAACCAACCATATTAAAATATTCCAGAGTGATTCTCAATTTGTTATGGACTGGAGAGAACACGGGTGATGCCCTCTTCTGAAAAGTTCCTTTATACCATGTTTATTACCAATGATGTCACCACCCTGGATTGAACCAGGGTGAGTAGCTAATATAAAGGTACAGGTTAAGCATCTCTAATCTAGAAACACAAAATCCAAAATGTTCCCAAATAGGAAACTTTTTGAGTGCTAACATGAAGCCACAAGTAGAAAATTCCACAACTGACCTCATGTGACAGGTCGCAGTCAACAGGTAGGCATGTGACATACTGTTTATTCAATGTCCTCATGGAGGTTAATGTGCAGCATCCTACCTTCTAATCAAAACCGAGCACAGCAGGTAGAGACTGAAAGCCTGCACTGTCTGTTGTTGCTGCTGTTTAACAGCTGACCCAGGTATTCTGTGATGCTACCGTGCTGCTGTTACACTGAACACATTGTTTTTACACTGTTAATGGTGTGTCATTTTTTTTACTGTTATGTACGTATTATGAATAAGTGTAAGGAAATGCTTTCTTATCAGTAGCATATAAATTCATTGTCAGAAATGATAACGATGTCACATAACCACAGACTGTCCACATGAGTGGCTGAGGTAGTGACACCTTTGCTTTTGATGGTTCAGTATACAAACTTTGCTTCATGCACACAAATATTGTATAATACTACATTCAGGCTAAATGTATAAGCTGTATGAAATATAAATAAACTTTATTTTTAGAGGTAGGTCCCATCCCTGAAATGTCTCATTATATATATCCAAAATGTGAAAAAAATTCAAAATCTGCAACACTTCTGATCCCATGCATTTGAGACAAGGGATACTCCACTTGCAGTCATCTAAGTAGGGTAACCACAGCCTGATTGTGAAAACTATCAGAGCCGTGCGATCACAAATTTGGCTGGCTGATCCAATCAGAGAATATCTCTTCATTTTTGAATTTGAGATATTCAGAGACAGCCTGAACAGGACAGTGGGAAGAAGCCAGAAGACAGCAAGAAAGCAGTCAATAATAAAAATCATAAGGCAGCAGGAGCTCTGAGGAAGCAGAGCCAACACCAAAAGAGATGGGATGGGGTTAGTGGTGCACACAACAGGTCTCCTGCTCCTGATGCATCAGATTCCACTTTGCCCTTGAGGTCAAGCCACACTGGCTTTCGTTCAGTCCCTTGTTATATACCGGTTGTTTCCTGTCACAGAGCCGGTGCACATATTCTTCCCTTTCTGGAAATATCTTCCCTCCCCTATTTGCCTAGTTCACTTCTACTCACCTTCGAGGTCTCTTTTTGCTTCTATTTTTGTAACTGACCCCCCAGCTAGGTAAAATCTCCCTATCGTAGTGCCAATAGGAGACAAATTACACTCTCATAGTACCTATAGGAGACAAATTCTCTTCACAGCACTTACCACAAATGTAATTTTGCAAATTCATTGTATAGTTTCATTTTTAATGTAATCTCCCCCACTAGACTATAATCTTGTTGACCATTTGTTTCTTCTCATTACTGTATCTCTATTACTTAGCACAATGCCTGGTATGTTGTAGAGACTCAGTAAAAAATCTGTTGAATGACTGAATTAAAAGTTATATATAGAATCTGATTTCTGATTTTATTCTTCTGATTAATTTCTATTAATGATTAAGCTAGGAGACCCTGTATATATACAGTTATTCTGTAGCAGCAGAAGTATAAACAGAGTAATTGGTGCTATGTCAATAGGTGTCTATGATTTAGGGGAGAGAAAAAAACATGGTTTATTGGAGCTTAAATAAAATTCCAGCTTCTCAGAAGGCCTGATCAAAATTTCCCATTTTATTTTATGTTGCTATCAGTGTGAGAATGAGGGCAAACCAAGGATCACTGAGTAAAGACAGGCAGTGCACCTCGGTTCTTGACAGCATCTGCGACCAGATGAATCAACCTTGGAGGTCACCAGAATCCAGGACTGCCTATCTAACTATCTGTCTGTCTATCTATCTATCTATCTATCTATCTATCTATCTATTATCTATCCATCCATCTATCAATCCATCATCTATCTATTTTTAATGAAGCCAGCCTATCTATCTTCCTATCTATCTACCTATCATCTATTTTAATGAAGCCAGCCTATCTATCTATCTATCTATCTATCATCTACTTATTCATTTTTAATGAAGCCAGTTTAGTTAGAGTATCTGTTATTTGTAGCTGACAATTTTCTAATATAAAGTGTTACTGGCTGGGTGTGGTGGCTCACGTCTGTAATCCCAGCACTTTGGGAGGCTGAGGGTAGATCACCTGAGGTTGGGAGTTCAAGACCAGCCTGACCAATATGCAGAAACCCCATCTCTACTAAAAATACAAAATTAGCCAGGTGTGGTGGCGCATCCCTATAATCCCAGCTACTCTGGAGACTGAGGCGGGAGAATTGCTAGAACTCGGGAGGCAGAGGTTGTGGTGAGCCAAGATCGCACCATTGCACTCCAGCCTGGGTGACAAGAGCGAAACTCCATCTCAAGGAA